TGAGTTATTGCGATTACAATCATGGTTATGATGCTACAAGTCTCGCAAAATTATATCCATGATTTAAAGTGCCTTAAATCGTCATTATGATTATGCGTATCTTATGAAACCGGTGCCACATAATGCGGTTCAGAGTTAGTCATGGTTATGATGGTACAAGTCTCGCGTCATCAAGTGTGAGGTATTCTATCTATGCTTTAAAGTGACTTAAATCGTGGTTATAATGAGTATAATGTGAAACTGGTGTCGCATCATACGGTTTAGTCTTGCATCATGGTTCATTATGATCTGAGAGTCATGATTGCAGGGCCAACCAGAGCATATCACGATAAGTTTAGAGTCATTCTAATTATGATTCACTAAAGTATGAGTATGCTCAACGGTTACGAAGAAAGGTCAGTGATCCTTTTCTTAAACAAAGAATTCCTTGGATGGTGAGCAGCACAATAGGATCCGGATTTCGCAGGTAGGTTCGTGTCGTTACTGACTCAGCTATCGGTGCAAGTGATATCTAAACATATTAATTTAAATCTCGCATTGTTTGCTGTTACTTTTTTATATATCTTCTAAAACTTAACGTTTCATTGTTACATTTTCCTCTTCCGTACAGCCTTGTTCAACTTTTCGTTATGGAGTTTCAGCAACCTTAGCGTACGATGCTCAGGGCCTGGACTCCAACTACAAGAGACATTTTTTCAAAGATTTTTTTTGCTGTGTTCGTTTAGTTTGTTTGTTTGTTTGTTTGTTTTTTGATAATTCTTTCTTGGAGTGGTTTTCAGATGTTTTCAAATCGACCATTCAGAGGGATCTGGAAGACTATTCAAACACCGTAACTTTCCGGACGTTCTGTCGCGAGCTGAGATGTATATGAGGGCCTCAATGGAGGCGGGGGGGGAGGGTCACGTTGACGGTTGACGGTTAAATTTTAGACCATTTCATGGTTAACGGTTAATTTTTTAGAATGTCGTTTATAATACGAATATGGCATAATTGTTTTATTAAAAAAACGCCCCCAAGATATTAGACAAATCTTCTCGACTTTATTTTGTAAGGAGAAACCGGATGTTATAACGTACAGATATTAGATTATGGTATATTGACTCTTATATCATAATGGCTAACCCAATAAAAAGTCTTGAATTTCATTATCCAATGAACCAGTTTTTAATAACAGGTGTTATTAAAAAATGACTACCGTTTAACTACACCGGAATTGTTTCCACACCGGAAGTCAGTTCTGTCGCTAACCAGGTTTACTCGCGACTAGAAGTTAAAGGACTTACATAAATGTATTTTTGTGATATATCAAAACTTTTATTTATATACAACAGAACTTCAACTTTAACTTTACTTTATCAGGCACTCAGGTTTTAGTTACAATATTAACATAAAAAAACAGAAAAGGATACATATGTAAAAAATTTAAAGATAACAGTATTCTATAGTTCGTACATGGAGGCTAAGAGAACCGCGAGGTTATCGAGTCAGCCTCCATCTCGTTTGGATTCACTTAGATGAAACTGGGAGTAGCGGGACGGATTACTGAATAAAAAGCTAGAAGAATTGTGGATGACTTAAGTTTGAGAGAACTTGAATGATAGATCTTTTGGCACTTTTGATTTGTGGAAACTTAGGTTTGGTATTGCTGATATTGAATAAAGTTTTTAACACTTTTAGAGAAAGCAAATTGATTTAGGTCTAATAACTTGTATGGCAGTTCATGCCAAAGATCAATGGCCATGCAGCAGAAATTGAACCCAATTAAGGCAGAGTCAGTCGTTCAGTTGTTGATGAAGGATATCTGAGATATTTGACGGCTAACATTGGTTTGCTTATTTGACAGTTGACGGTAAAAATGTTGTGTTTTTGACGGTTGACGGTTAACCCCATTGAGATCCTCATATATTCTGTTGGTTATAAAGTTCCTTGTCCATATGCACCCTCCAAGAATTTTTAATTCAGGTTTCTCTTTTTCGTAATGCACGTCATTTGTGATTTTTTATGTCCTGCTCCGAGAAAGCTTCCCGC